GAAAAACAACAAATTATAATAAAAAACCTGAAAACAATCTATATCGTATGTTCCTTTATCTTTTTTCTTTCCCCAGTGTGTGACATGAATACATTTAAATTTTTAATGTGCTTAAGTGCATAAAGTTACTGAAAAATCAGTGTTTCTTCTTACCTGTTATCTTTGCCATTTTAATAATAGTATTTTTTTGCATAATATGTAAAACAGCATGTGGGAAATGCATAACGTGCTTCTTAGTCATGGTTGCTTTTACTGCCAGAGTAACCCACATGCAGATTTTGAAAAGGTCAGAATGTGTGGCATTCTAGGGGGAATCAATGCATAGTCTCATTGATTTGTTTGTTTGCAAAAGTTGTTCTAACCTAGACCACGGAGTATCTACCAAATTCCAGACTGAATTCTGTGATAGCACAGGTACAAGAAAGAAAAGACTGCATTGAAGTCAGGCACAAATAGCTGTCTTAAATTTCAAGCTTTTAGAGGCACTCATGTCCCCCTCTTACAGGACCAGACCCAGCAGGAAGTGCTTAAACCCATTCATTAATCCAGATTAGTTGAGCACCATGCCCTGCTATGGTCATTTCACTGACTCCATTTTTGAAGCCCATAGTTTTACACTGAAATGAATGGCAGGATATGGCATCCTAATTTACATATGAATACTCCTCTGTATTTGCAATTGCACATTGTGCTGTGCAACCTGCAGTTTAAACATCACGCTAATGTTACTATTGTGAATAGCCTTGTGGTTGGGGTCCCCACTGTGCTGCCTAACACAGCAGCCCACGAAAGTGAGTGTTATATGAAGGGCTCAGGTTCAAAATTTGCCTTGGTAGAGAAGGTAAATTCATTTAACAGAGTAAAATAACTGAACTATGCGGGAACAAAGGGTCAATTCAGAAACTTAAGTATTTCAAAACCAAACCATGCATGGTTTTCTGAGAACTGCTGGTGTTAGCTAGAACTGCGTGTGCTTATAGTGGCATTTAGTTTGTACGTTAATTAGTTTTACCTGCAGATGTAAAGCAATTAAGATTCTTGTCTCTCTTACACATTTGACAGTTTCTCTTACTAAATCATTATTTGCTAGAAGTGCAGTCAGATACAGAATGGCTCTGGCACTCAGCAGTGACCTGTAGGTGAACAAAACATATTACAATGAATAATATTGTCACAGTTACTAGCTCAAATGAGTTAATATTGATGACGTTTTTTCCCATTTAATGTAATGATAGCATGAGCAAACTACGTTTTCAGCTGATGTCAGGTGTAAATTCAAAAGGTAAGCACTGCCAGCAGAACATAAAATGACACCAGAAAGAAATATTAGGGTAGAGGGGGGCCTCCTGGGTCCCATCTCGTCTAATTGAAGGCACCTAGGTTAGATAATCACATTCATTATTATATTACCTCACTTATTATTAGCATATTTATTAGCTTCAGCGATGAGATATAGCAGGAGTTGTGAGTTTTGAGTCTGGCCAGGTGACACTGCCTGTCCAGACACCTCATTTATAGAGGCTGCCAAAATGGAGTGGTTTGCATCTGGTACAAAAGACAGGGCTCTGCAAGCTCATTTAGCTCATTTAGCTTATTAAGCCATGTGAATATGGGCTTACGGTGCCATGGAAGATCTGTTGGAGAGTCTACTCCCAAGGGCATCCTAGGTGGCACTACACATTTGGTTTTGGGCAAGTCTAAGCCCCACATTTTAGGACAGGGCAAGTTACCTGCTGGAGGAATCTATTTCCATTGTCCATATTGTGGTGACCAGGTCATGCTAAACACCCAAGCATTTTATTTTTCAAGTTGGGTGGAATGGACCCTATACAAATAAACTCTAAAATGTTTGGTTTCTTGCCCTAGTTTAGGCTGTGGTGATCAGACACGTGGCTGCTCAGCAGATATCCCCAGAAAGACATGATTTGCACACCTTCTTATTTCTTTTATTGTCTCTTGATCCTGTTTTTCACCACTTTACTTCTTCTGACCAGGTGTCCTCTCAAATAAACAACCTGTCCTGAGTTAGTTTCACAGGTTTGCTGTGGATTTTGCAGTTCTGTTACCTCTTGGCCTCGCTGATGCAGTCACCTAGGTGCTGTTGCCCCTGTAAGATTGCAATCCCCAAAAGGTCCCAAATAATTTCCTCCAGGCACCTTTGAACTTCGGTCATTCGTCCCTTAACCACCCATACTGGACCCAGCCTTCCCTCACAGTGTTAGCTGTAACTTCTGTCTGCTTTTACATTATTATCAGTGATGTCTGGAAATTTCTCATGTTGTCATGGTCTCACGTCCATAGGTTTTCCACACCCTGTTCAGTTAATTTAACCTCAGGATTATGCCAGTGAAGGCCAGTGGTTTAGTCATTTGCTTGCAGCACTAACAAAGATGTGGAGGATTATTCCTGAAGTTGCCCGGAAAAAATATTTTCTCACTTGTGTGATGAGAGGAACTTAAAATTAAAATCAAACGCATTTGTTTAGTGTTAAATAAGACAGTCCAGCACAGTGCTGAAACCTGCACGCCCATGTAAAGACCATCCTGAGATAAAACAGCTCAAAGTGAGCAAGTAGCCACTGATATTCTTAATCATAGACTGATACCATTAATTCCTTAGGACCTAAAAGAATGGGGAGAAAGGCTTTAATATGGTCTGTTATTTTCTTTGGAGCAGTTTCAGAGATACAGTGTGTGTGACTGCTCCTGGTTTTGGATCGCTCCCAGATGTCAGATCCCAAGGGTTCAAGTTTATCTTTGGCTTCTTCGGCGGACGGTTCAGTGGCAATGTCATTAATATGCAGATGATGCTTTGTTCTGTTTCCTCCTTGTCAGCCAGGCAGGAGATATCTCTGTACTTTCCAGCGTCTGGCTGAGATAGGGAGCTGGGCAGGAGCCAACAAACCGGGCTCCTTCCAGGGCTTCAAACTGCTTCTCAATGACTGGCCTGGAAACCAGTTTTGAGGAACCTTTATTCAGGGATTCATTTCTTCAAGTGCTTTGTTGGTCTTAGGGTCTTAATAGTCCCAAACTGCTCTGCAGTTGCCCTCTGATGAGAAGAGCTGGGAGTGCCTTCTTCAGCCAACAAAGGAAAACCAAATGAAAGCCCCAAATCTGCCCATCCAAGAGTGTGGCTGCATCAGCAAGGCCCCCTACCAGCAAAGAGGGAGCTGCATTTCCATCTCCTTTCCTCCTTTTTGCTCAATCTCAGCCACACGCTGCTTTCTGCAGCCTCTGCAGCTTGTTAGGTGCCTCCATGAGCTAACACAACTCACCGAAGCAGCATAAATAAACCACAACAAAATGTGGATCATCCTCTCCACCTTCCTGAGTTTCTTTGGCTCTCCAGCAAAAGCCAGAAAAAGAGGATGGGACAGGGAAAGGAAGAGGAGTGAGGAGGGAGGGCAAGACCTGATAAGCACGAAGGCAGTGTGTCTGTGACCAGGCTCCCATTACAAAACTTGAGACTCGATAACCACTTGAAATTTCAGCTACGGCCTTAATTCAGCTCACTCCCTTTCAGTCTCTATGGCTTTCTCAGGGTAAATTACACCCGCAGCTTGTTCCCAACAATGGGAGCAATTAAAAACACTCTTTACTATCGCCAGAGCCTTAAATAGTTGAAAACTAATTACTTCCAAAAGACTTTCCTTCTTTTGTCCTGTGGTGACCCCAGCATTAAATAGAATTACTTTGGCCATCTTGCCTAGGAATGAACTTTGAGGAAGCTGGAAGCAAAATAATGTCTCTAGAAGGCATTTTCCTGAAGAATTCACTCCTGCCAGAATATTTGCTAAGCCTGAACTTGCCCACATTTGGTACACGATGTAAAATAAGTCTCCATGCACATGTTCTCTGCTAACTACAGGCCCCGGAGTCCTTGGCATTCAACCTGCTCTTGTCTATCTTTGTCCTTTAATGTGGTGTGCCGTTGCCTGAGCACGCACCCTGCAGCCTCCCACCCAGCCTTTGCAATCCTCCTCTCTGCCCAAATGTCCTTCTGCTGCCTGCACCAAACTCCCCAAGAGGGAAGCACGGAGATATGGCTTCCTTCTGCTGGTCCAGTCCCCAGGCTGGAAAAGTCCCAGCCAGGACCCAGCAGCAGCTGGGAGCAGGATCTGAGAACTAGATTCAGAAACACATGGATCAGGATCGGAGGCAGATGAACCAGCAGGGTTCTGCTCCAACATTGGCCATGGCAGAAGGGGAAGAAGAGAGTTTGACCCTTGTGGTCCCTCAGCTTAATACTGAGTGTGACACATGTGGTGTGCAGTATCTTGTTGGTCAGTTTTGGGTCCTGTCTGCTTCTCCCTGCAGGTGCGAATACAGCACCCATGGTGTGGCAGTGGCCTTGCCATGTTTGTATACTATACAAGCACTATCACTTGTAGAAGTGAACACTGTCTGGAGAAACATGCCATTAGTTTCAGAAAGTACAGTCACTTAGAGGAGACTTAACTGAAAAGCAAAATCACTACATAGAGAATTAGTTCTATGTAGCTCAAACTAGGACATTCCCCTATTTATTCCATAAAATTTTTGTCATACTCAGGTCACTACCACTTATGATTTATCTGTTTACATGAAAGTTCGTTAAGTTCATCTAGTTCATGGCTGCAGGTTTGCATCTATCATAGCAGTCTCGCAGAGGAGAAGATATGATACAACATTTGTCGTGGTTCGTGCCCACAGGTTGCAGGTTCACCTTGAAATGTTTACTGGACACCACCCGATGAAATTAGGTGTGATCACCATCACTGCATTATCCCTGAAAAACACTTAATGAAGACTGTTAGTATTGTGCAGCAATTAGCATAATACACCTCAAAAGTGAGGTATGCTTCCTAGGCCAGGAGTAGCCTGGAGAACAGGTCGAGGGAGACCCTTAGCCACACACAGACATGAAGCCGTAATCTTTTGCCTTGGAGCAAACCAGTAAACCACAGTAACCAGTAAATATCTCAGTAAACCACAGCCAGGCACCATTATCCCAATGGCAGTTGTGTACGTGCTGCATTTCTACGTGGCCTGCAGTCAGTGAGTTTCATCTGAGAGCCCTCCCATGTGCACCAAACTCTGCCGTCATCTGCACTGTTATATTTTCCTGAAGAAAACAGGTGAAACACCATGGAGAAGAACACTTTTTTTCTGCTCAACACGTATTTTCCCATAATTTGCCTCAACTTGTAGGACCTTCTCTTTTATTATTTTTAAAACTTATTTGTTGCTTATTAATGTCTCACATCTGTTATTTATCTCAGTGTTATTCAGTCATAAACAGTATTAAGTCTTCACAGAAAAATGTATTAATGTTCATTTATTTTTCTTTTAGAAACAATTATATATAGTGTTTTGGATTATATAATGGAAATGCTGTTTCATGCCATGTAAATAAGCTGCAACTAATCTCAGTGACTTATGGTAAACCATGATATTCATTCATTTTTTAGATCACATTGACCACCATTGGCTACGGAGACAAAACTCCTCTTACCTGGCTCGGAAGGTTGCTTTCTGCAGGATTTGCTCTACTTGGCATTTCTTTCTTTGCACTACCTGCTGTGAGTATGCCTACAAAACTGGTAAAAAAGGGAGTAGAAACTTCCATAGCTCCCATCACTGTTGGGTTACAAAAAGCTGAAGGCAGCTCTCCACGTGAAGAACAACTGTTTAAGGCCTTTTGCTCTGTGACAACGCTAGTGATCTGCTGTCCAAAATCCAAGCGAAAGGTTTGCTGCCATCGCTTGAGTTTTGGGGAGTTCCTTTGGCACGGACAAAACTGGGAAGTGATCCTAAATTACATAGTATTCTATTGTGTAAGGTTGAAATTCCTTTTTCTTTAAAGGATTGTGGCTTATATATTACTGGTTTTCTTTCAGATTTAATAAGAAAGCAACCCAACTGATAAATTTTTCTGAACTGGATTCTACTGAGAAAAAATAAAGTTAGATATTTCTAATAGGTTGTCTTGCATGACCATGTTCAGGCTACCAGCAGAGAGTAGTAGAAGGCATCAGATCAACCAAAAGTTAATGTCGTTGGATGTAAAAATGCAACTATCATTTTCTGTGAGTGACTGTAAATAAACATGACAGTTTATTTATGTTGTTTTTGTCAATGTTCAAGAGGCTTTAATGGAAATGGGAATCATCTAATGACTAAAATATAGTGTAGCTTCAGAAATAACTTCATTTTATGAGTGAATTTCTTTTCTTTTTAAAATCAGTATTGAATAAGCTTGAAATCAGAAGTGACATCTGTATTTTGTTGTATTGCATCCAGTGCAACATATACAGAATATCAGTATTTGAATACTCAGGTTCATTATCTGTAGGCCACTATAAAACATGTGTGTTGTAATAATACATTTGTCTTCAATCATATAGACAAACCAAGATTAAAAGTCAGCATTTGCCAGCAGTATTGAATCATCGTGTGTACCGCATTTCTTTCTTACTCTAAGCACAGAGAGTATTTCAGTATCTCTGGCATGTTATAATTCATTAAAATTATCATTATAATTATAATACATTACCTGTTTGTGAATCTTTGGCATTTAATGGCAGCTACTGTAATTAATTCCCTTTGTTACCTAGTCACCACTAACAAGAACGTTATTCTTAGGAGGACTACAATGAACATGTAAAAGATGAATAACCGTACATATCAGAGATGCCAGAACTTTTTGTTCCTCATGTCGTATCTATGTGCAGATACTCATTTTCCTCATAAACACTTTTGTGTCAAATCTGTCTGTAAAACAAGAGATCTATGTGAATCTCATGCATTTCTAATATTTTATCCTGACTAGGAGTCAGGTGGAAATCTTTATAATGCAGACACGTCCAGCAGAAATATTGCACTCCTTGCAAGCCAAGGAGGGAAACATTCTCAATCTTTGGGTCTGTTCCGCAGGAGTCAAATTTATCTTATTTTTTCAAAGATAAAAAGGCTAATAAGGGGAAAGGTTAGGGTCAGCTTTTTCCATAGCCGATAGACTGAGCAATGGGGATCATTTAGATGGTTTTTGAAGAAATTATCTTAGTCTGTTAAGCAAGGCATTTTCTAACTTTTCTAAAATCAGAGGTTATAATAAGTACTGCAGATACGGACTTTGAGGTCCATATATGTGGTATATCTGGCAGCTGGTCATTTCATCATTTTTGGCTTAAATTCCTCTGAATGTTCCTGCTTGATTTTGCATGTATATATGTATATATATATGTGTGTGTATATATATATCTCCATGACCTTTAGAGTTGCAGGAACACAACGTAGCACAAACCCCAGCAATGGCTGGGATGAGCGGTCATTGGTAGCACCGCAGATGTTATCCCTTCAGTAAGGAGTCTCTGGCCTCGCTGTTGTTAAGCCTTGTACTGTCATAGATGTGTTATCTGAAGCAAATATATGGCGTAGCAGCTTCACAAAATCTTTGTAATTATGTAAGTTTGTTGAAAAAAACCTACCTACATAATGATAAATGGTGTGTTGCATTGCAGGGCATCCTTGGCTCAGGATTCGCGTTAAAAGTGCAGGAACAGCATCGTCAGAAACACTTTGAGAAAAGGAGGAATCCAGCTGCCAGCCTAATTCAGGTAAATACGAAATCAGCGAAAAGATAATAGGAGGTGATTTAAAGTACATATTAGGACAAGTTTCGTTATTTCAGTTGGGAAAGTTTTGTGGAAATAACATTTAAGAGATTGGTTAGTCTCGTGAAATGAGTTTGTTCGGTGATTGCCGTGTGTTGCCATAGTTGTGTATAGAGCATTTCTATGTGCAGTATTTGAGTTTTTCTATCCATGCTGAAGAAACTCACTCAAGGATATCAATTGCATGCCTGCAGTTAGTGAATTACTTGGAAAAGCAGAATTGATCCTTAGACAACCCAGCTGACAGCACAGCGCTCTTGCCTATATTAAGCTACTTTTCATCTACTACAGGGTTTAGAGTGCTCCAATGAGTGATATACTTGGTGAAAATGAAAAGCGTCCTGCCCAGAGAATTGCTTTCACTATCAGTCAATTCAAAAGCTGGAACTGTAGGCGCCAGCAATTCCAAAATTGCCTGAAGTGGTTTCAGCTCCAATATGGACGTGATGGTGCAGATCAACGATTTGGAAAGATTTTTTTTTTAAAGCAAAAGTGGCATGATATTTGATAAACGGCTGTTTTGCATGGGTTTTTTCCTTAACTTACTGTCCTAATTAAAAAAAGATAAAATCTTCTAAATAATTCTGCACCAAGCTTTACGCTATTTCGTGCACGGGAGAAAAAAAAGGGGAGAAATAATCTTCTACCATCCTAGTTTATTTTCTTGGGATCCCAAGTGTTTTCTGTGTGCCATTCATGGTGGTTTTTTAAATTATGAAATAGTAAGTCCAAATAAAGAAGCTGAGCATGAATATACCAGAGGTCCATGATAAGTTCAGGATAGATGCCAGGTTCCCTTTGAAACATTCTTAAAGTTAATAAATGTTTTCCATTATTACCGTTCAATGATTATTAAATATTAAATGCTTGAGATTTACGCATTCATTTGCATGCTCAGCATTTTCAGTGATCTGGAAATGAATATAAAATTGCTGATGGAGGTATTTGCCAATGGCACAAGGCCTGGCAGAATAGGAAAGATGAGGGCAGGCACATGGGAATGAGCCTGAGGATGCTCTGGGTGACTTTACAGGGTGGAATGATTCCTACTAAATGTCTTAACACACCAAATACAAATCTCGATCTAGAAACAATGAATTCATACTATGACAAGAGGCCTCTATCCCAGTATTAGTGACTTTGGAAAGGATTTGTTGAAGGATAAGAAACAGAGAGGAGAAAGAATGGGAAAGAAGGGTCAAGCGCCTCATACAAGTTCCCAATATGTTACTCCAGCTAATTTATTGTGGTTGTTAGATACAGAACCAGAAAGGTAACGAGTAGGATAACAAGGCTGATATTACCACTGTGTATGGTGATGTTGGTATTAACATGCTGCACATCAACTCAGCGTCTACAGTTTGTAAATGAGACTGGAAAATTGGAGAAAGCAAAGAAAACATTTGAAAAAATGAGTCCAGCACTGGAGAAAATTTCATCTTCATAAATTGCAGAATGTGTCTGAACTGCGTGTCATTGTCCACTGTAATAGTGCCCAGGGTTTTTTAAATTGTCTACTGTGGATATTGATAATGAACTACTGTGGAAATCAGTGTGTTCTAGCTTACCAGGTTAATGTCTATTTTCTAATCAGTTACTCTGCAGAATTAGTCTGTGGTAACACCTCTGTTGCCATAGATGTGCCCTGTTAGAGCCTTTGCCTGACTTAAAGATATCACTATAGAACCCTGAAATGTTTCATGTGGACACACTTTTCCCAATTTCTTTAGCTTATAAGAAATACTCGCTGTGAATATTATTTGAACATACAAGTCCAGAGAGGAGGTACTGGAACCTACAGACTATTTAACGCAGCAGGCAGAAACATAACTAATATCTCTGGCTATAAGCCAAACCCAAAGAGTTTGAAGTTAAAAATAACGCGGAGATTTTTGACAATGAGCATGATCAACCAGTGGAACAATTTACAAAGTAAGTGACAGGTTCTCCATCTGTAGATGAAGATTAGATGTATTTCTGGGAGATACACCATAGGAAAACGCAGGGTATTAGACGCTACAGGAATACCTGGATGACATTTACTGGTTGACAATACACAGGAAGCACAGATACTCAGCCAGTACAAATTAATACCGTTTTGCTGACATCAGGGAAGCTGTTCCAGGTTGTAGGACCGATGATCTGTCTTACTGTCTACATGCAGTTATAAATCTAAACGCTGGATACATTTTCAATGCTATGCTTTGGTCACTCGCCGTTGAAATTATTTATTTTGTGTTTTTAAACATTTAGCAGTATTTCAAACCACAGAGAATATGTCACTTTTCTTCCAAATGCCTTTTGTCTGGTTTTCATTATCATTTACAGAATGTATTATGACACTTTCTTTACCTCAGACTGCAAGTTTGTGTGGGTGTCCCCTATGGACCTGTCACAGATAAATCACTGCGATGCTTTTTAGAGCACCTTTATGTGCTGCATATCTCCTGGTGCTTCCACAAAGCCAGTAACTCTTACTTTACTGTGTAAAGTGAGCTGTGATTCACAAATGTTTTGGTAGGTTTTTACTGGCATTTCCTCAGTCAACCTAATGCAGCACATCCCAATCTGAACGAAATCCCCTCTCTCCGTAGTCAGGGTGGCGGCATTGGCACTTCATGTTCTTGGTTCCTTTGTGCTTTTCTATTGTTTCCCCACACCAGGCTTCCTGGCGGTTTTATTCTACCGACGCCAGCCGAACAAACCTGACAGCCACCTGGCGATATTATGAAAGTATTCTTCCTCCCCTCAGGCATGTATCAGTGCTATGAATGATAAAAGAAAGCCATGACTTGTATTGGTTACTAATCTGCTTTTCAATTTTTTTTTTGTTTCATCCCCTGCTCCCTCTTGCCTTGTTTTTTTCTTTTTTTACCATATATCCTGCACGTAGTGTGTATGGCGTAGTTATGCGGCTGATGAGAAATCGGTTTCCATTGCTACCTGGAAGCCTCATTTGAAGGCCTTGCATACCTGCAGCCCTACAAAGTAGGTACAAATATGGCAGCTGGTGCTGTTCTCGATGTTCTGTTCAAGCTTATAGAGAATTACAGTTTGTCTGTTTCGTCTTGTTTTGTCTTCTTAAGTCCTCTCGTTAAAAATTTCAACTAACAAAGCCGATCAATATTATCTAGGAGCCTAGGACAGTGGGACAAATGCAACAGGCATTAGAAAGATTTTCCCAAAACCCCACTCATATATCAAGGTTAATGTTTCACCCAGTTCCAAATTATCTCAGAGGAGGAAAATGCAAAGTTTAATGCAGAGCTTGTTCCTTGATTTAATGGTATTTTTATGCCTGTGTCTCTGTATAATGCCATAGCTATAGATCTGCCCTTGTGAGTGAAGAGAGCCTTGGGGTATCCTGCAGGTGAATGCACTGGGGGATTTGCTCTTTTTCGTTATAATTTCTGTATTTCCTTGGGGCGAATTATATCCTCAGTTACATACACAGTCAGTGGAAGATGACTAAAAAGACCTGATGTCATGGTTTGGTAGACGGGAAATATTTGGTGTCCTAGCTTGGGTGAGAATTCACAGAGCACTGGCGGCCCAAGACTCTTCAATAATTCAGTAAAAAAATTACCAGAATGCAGTAAGTTGACTGATTTAATATGGGGCACAAATCAGGAAGTAAAAGATATTCTATGAAAATCAAAAAGAAGAGCGCTAAGAACCTGATGGGAAAGCTCTGATAAGCGTCCTAACTGTTGTTATTGCAGACAGTGCAAGAGAATTAGTGGTTTCTCTCAAAGCTGGGTGATGAACATCCACATGACAGTAAAAAGGTAATTGTGTGCCAAAAAGCTCAGCCAAAAAGAGGTTTGGCTGGGTACCCAAAGCTGATCTTTGAATTTCAAAGAGTTGACAAGAACAGAGCCATAAGTAATCCATTACCATAACTGTAATTCCAAAATGCTCCCACCTAAAAGGAACTTTCAGATTAAAAGTTACATGGAACATTGGTTTTTGACATATACAAACGGGTTGAAGGCAACATTGGTACAAATGGATGGATATAAAATTAGCCAAATAATAAAGCTGCATCCCACCTAAAACATTCTAAAATGTGACTGTCCCTCAAAAGTGCATCTACTTGTTATTTTAAGTAAGCCTATTGCTGTGCTATCCTAAAATTAAACCTTTTTATTTACCAGAAATAACTTTCTCTAATAAGAGCCTACAGCTTTCTGTTATATATGTGTCAGCAATGCATTTTGCCTAAGTGCTTTGCCAACTCAGTCTGCAGTGGTATGTACTAAGCATGTTGTGCATGTGTTAAATTAAAACTTCCTTTTTCAAAAGCATTGTAGTTACAAGTCTTGCTTGAATGTTTTTGTGGTTGCAATGTAACGTGTGTGTTGTACACTAATTAACATTTCCATTTATGTTCATCATATATCTAACATCATCTGTAACTAAGTAATGTGATTACTATCTGCATAACAAGTATGTTTTTCCCTCCCACGTCCTGACCTGAAGAAAAGAACAAGGGGAAGCTTCTAGCAGGTTTGTAGTTTCTCTTCTTTTTTTTTATCTGTGAAATCGCTGGTTTTTAATGGCTTTGAGATGTTTCAGGTTCTGTACAGTAGGTTCAATGAGCTGTAACTGCTAACTGATAATAATCACAAACTGTTATTTTTTTTAAACTCATATTGATAGACTAATGCTGCTGAAATTTGCTTCTTTGTGCCACTTTTTGTGTGGGAAAAATATGCAATTTTTTAACTTTGAGGGGGAGCTCAGTTTGAGCTGTAGCAGAGCAGCAAGTGGAGCAGCATCTCCAGATCCAGCTCCTGGGCAAGGATGCGGCCCCCGGCTTTTGCCATAAAATCAATGCTCAAGGTTTTTAGGAATCGCAGTGGAAGTTACAAGCACATAGTTGAATTTGGCTTTTTGAACCAGCCCCCTGTGGCCGAGGGAGGACCCCACAGCAGTGCTGTCTGGCTATCACCTCAGCAAGGGCCTGTGCTGCCCTGCAGGGGCATCCTCAGGGCTTCCTCAGAGCCACATCTCCACGTTTTCCCCACTTTTCTGCCATTCCCTCTCAAAGAGCATTTTGAGACATGGCAGGGGGGTGGAAAGCAGTGGTTCACCTCCTCCCAGCCACACGGTTTGCACTCTGGCATGTCCCTGTTTGGGCAGAGGAGACAGCCTGGCATCTCTCCTTAAATAAGGCCCACTGCTGCTGGCTGGGAGGGCAGGTGGGGTTCAACTCAGCCTGGACACCGGCTGGAAACCTTGCCAGGCCTTGGTAGGGCTGTCCTCACTGGATAAATAAAGCCCTGGAGATGCATGTCCTAAGGCAGTAAGAGGAATTGCTGCTCTTTGCTGTATTTCTAGCTCAGATCCTTAGGGACAGGAAAGGCCTCCGTGGCCACATGAGAAATTACCCAAGCCCCAAAACTCATCAGGGATGGGAGTCCGCGGGCGTTCAGCAGCCAGCACTGCAGTTTCAGCACAATCAGTAAATAGTGGAGTTTACCTCCAAGAAGAAAACGATGAAAAGACAAGAGTAAATAAGTCGGTGGCACATCAACCCCTGAAATAAACCTGCCCCTTGAGTTGTGCTGTGGTTCACAAACTCTCTTGGGTTATTCAGTCCCTTGTTCACGTAACTGGTGTTGGTGTCACAGTGACTGGAGGGGATTTGCTCTGAGATGTCCCTCGAGCACACTTTGCCTGCTCCATTGGTTCTGTGACTCTTCACAGACATTACCTCCATAGGGTCGCTAGCAAAGTATCGATCTCATTAAATTATTACAGCCTGATCAAAAATTTTTGCACTCGCCAGCCGTATTTCCTACTCCTTCAACAGCAACATTTCAAATTTACCTCAGCTTTTTGAAAGGTGAGACTGAAGTTGGCAGTAAATGAGTATGTACCTCCAAAACAGTGATTTGTGCGGAGGGGAGAGGTTATTCCCAGTTGTATCTGTGGCACTTAAAGAGACAAATTTGCTTACAAGAAGAAGCTAGATGCAAAAAAGACACCCAGCTGTCAAAATTACATGCACCATGTTGTTGATAACTGTTGTGGTTTTAAAAGTAGCCAATGATTTAGCCAGAATTTTTCACTTAATTTTCACTGAATGGAAGATGTTTGTCCCTTCTGAAACCCTTAACTAATTATGTGCACTGCTGCAAATTAGTGTAGGTATAAAAATGAACTGGTCAACTCCTGAGATCCTGGTCTACAGTAAAAACCCTACAGGCCACTCAGTGCCTTTTAAAAAAGGTGTGTTTTGTCAGTGGCTGTTTATCGTTCTTATAGTGATATATTGCTGTATGTTTGTATTATTTAATTGTATCATTTGTGGTATATGTGGTCTTCTGTGGTAAAAATGTAAATGCCAATGTACTTTGAGATAACTGTCCTCGACTGTATGACTTCTTTCTTATTGCAATGCTGAGTGACTTGCATGGGATGCTCTGTGAACTAAGTAAGCTGCTTCTTGTTTCCCTCTTTAAATGAAGATGTGTTTGTACAAGTAGCACACTGGATTGCTTTCTGAATATGCTCTTTGCTCTCTACTCCATTCTAATAACAGTGGAGAAAAACTTTGCTTACTTTAGGTGAAAGTTAATTATTTTCTTTCCTGCCAAAGTGACTTTCATATTTACAGAAATGAATTCTTGCATTTTGGCATGTATAGACCTACAGTCTCTCATTAGGTAACCAAATGTTGCTGTGCATTTGAGTTGAGAGAGCTTTGCTTATGAGGCGGTAGCTTCATATTGATTTTAAGAAAAATATGAAAGTTGCATTTCTCAAAATATTATAGGCAAGTATTCTAATTAATTATTTATCAAAAGTAATGGTAGACAACCTCTCTGGTGTATCCAAGCTGTAAATGAGATATTTCTGTAAATCAGTTCTACAGTTCTGCACACCATTTTCAAAGCCTGTATGTTAAATTCTCCGTATCTACAAATGCACACACTGAACACAAATAATACTTATTTCTGTTCAGTTATACAATGTGGCTGAAATTCTTCCTGTGCAGGAAACTAGACCAAGACTGATGAATGTTACAACATCCTGAGAGTAGAAGCAGTCTTAAGCTGTGCATAGGACATGCATTGGGTGTCTGCAAAGGATGAATGTCATCCATCTGGGGGTGGAACCAGGGGGCCTGGGTATGACTTCCCCATTCAGATAACCGTGCAATAAGGAGTTTTGCCAGTGTAGGAGTATATATGGGGGAAAATCTAATCCCTGCTCTGAGTAAATTGTACTCTGGAATTCTCTCCCTCTCCTATATCATATCCATTTCTAAAAATAGATTTAATGTAAACTCTTTGCATGCACCATATGAAAAGGAAATTGCCAGTGATGCAGCGTCTAAATTGAGGTGGAAAGCCTAACCCCTTCCCCAGCAGTGGAATGCTTAGTAACACGGTCCTCTATCTCCCCTCACTCCTAGTAAGCTTTGTAGTAATAAAGAGAAGCTCTTCAGGATGTACACCCCTCGGAAACATAGGTATTCAGCATCCTGCCTATTGACATGATGTTTGAGAATGCCGACTAACATCAGGTGCATGATCCATTTACTTCCCTTCCTTAGTGCTTTACAGTTCCTTACTTCTCCAAAAGGAGGCTTCTTGATTTTATTTTTTTTTTAAGTGCTTGTGGTTCCCCTCATTGCTTGTTGCCTGCAATGACATTAAGAGAGTGGCAATAAATAATAAATAATTCTTTAAATCCCATCTGGTCAGACAGTCGCAGTGTGCAGCACGCCGCGGTTTGCCAAAGCCCCCTTCCCCTGGACTTGAACTTTTGGAATGCGTTACCCTGCAGAGATCTAAAACTGAGGTTGAACATTTGAGTAAAGACATTTGCCCAGGTCCAAGAGGATTTTTATAACCATGGCAGTTGAGTTCTCCATCTAGTAATTAGTGGGGAATGTTAAGCTGTAAGATAATAGGCGATATCAACAGTCAAAATGTGCAATGGTTGTTGAGAAGAATCCCCTTGGACACAGCCCGTGGAAGCTGTGCCTGCATCCTGGACTGGGAGGTAGAGGAATGCATGTGAAATCAACCATCTGCTTCAGCTGAATTCTGTGGAAATTGTGTCTCTTACCAAAAATGGTAATTCCTAGATGGATGGATCTTACGGGAAGAAAGCCTTGATTTATAACTAAAGCTTATTACATTTTTTCCTTGCTTTTTAAAAATAATTTAAAAGACAACAGAAGTACAAACTGATACAGAAAATGGAGATAAAAATAGTTTCTCTTCATCTGGAAACTGTTTTGAAAAAGGAAAAAATACTCAAAACCCATGAACTTCATTTATTTTTTTCTGTTTGACAATTGAACCTTAAGACATCATGTCCCTGAAATTCTTGCTATTACTCATTGAAGGTACGAGATATAACACTGCTATGAGATATAACATTTCTTGGGTTCATGCCCCTAGAATGAGACTGGTGGAGAAGCCTTGAACTCCAGGCCTCGCTGTACCAACCATTGCATTTGCATTTGTTCAACTTAGCTTAATTTCAGTGAAGTCGACCGTAGGCTTGGTAAGAATCAACATCTGTACTTATCTGAAGTTAGCTGCTGAAAATTGGCACGTACGTTTGATTGCTGTTGTTTGTCACGGGTGATAACTTTTGTCAGTTTTAGCTTCTGATCCAAAGCATTTCCCCTCACCATGAGGCCCTCCAGTTACTTCTGATTCGTTTCATTTTCCTCCTATTCCCACTTCCACCAGTCTGAAAAGATGAAAAGCAAATTGTAAATTGTGACTGTTAGCAAGCAAGTAGGTAAACGTGACCAGAAACACAGGAAGGCAGGCAGGGAAAACAGGGAGTGGAAGTGGGAGGCAAGGAGATGCTCAGTTAACCAGAAAGTAGATTAAGATGATCCATGGAAGGGAAACTGAGCTGTATGGGAGAGAAAAGCAAAGGTTTGTAGGCACATATCAATTAAAAGAAAATCTTATCAAGTGTAGTCATTTGGTCCAGCACAGTGTTCATTCTCCCTGCAGTGAAGCTACAGTGACCTCTAGTGTCCCTCAACACCTGATCCTTTAGCAAGTAAGACAGCATTTAAAAAAGAAATAAGAACTAGACAGTCCTTTGAGTGGTGAGACCCAACAACTGGCCCTCCAGAAGGCCAACAAACAGAGAAAAGTCACTTACTTCTTTTTCAGAGCTCCTTTTTTCAGGTGCCAGTTGGAATTGGTCTCCACTAAAAGCTGCTTCAAAGCATCTTTTATCGATTCGAATATATTCCACAACTGGCAACCTACAAGAATAGAGGAGCAATCGGTCCCAAAAGAGTACCACTGCCAAGGAAGATTGCAAGAGAAAGCAAATATATCTATATGCCATATAGGTAAATCACGTAAGGTACAAGAAATGATGGACAGACGCACATCCAGAAGAATGCAGAGAGGACTGAAGAGAGCTGTGGTTCTCTCAGGTCTTTGTCATTTAGGTCTGATTCGGGAATTTAATTGTCGTTTCAGAAATGTGTCATTTCAGAAAGCATTTAGACACCCATTTTCCTGATTCCTTCTTATGGCATTTTTGACCAACTTAAAGTTTGGGAGTAGTTACAGGGATATGTGAATTTCCAATGGCCATTCAGTTTACATTAATTCAAGCGTGATATAGATTTGTAGATCATGTGAAAAGAGGGGAGAAAAGAGGAAAGAGAAAAATATCCTGGGCTAGGTCCTGCAAGAGGTGAAGGATTTTTAGCAAAGCTGTGTCAGTGCTAATCCAATGAGCATTAAATCAGAGTAAAGGGCCCTAAAGGTTTCAGCAGCTGCTGATTCAATGCAGGATGCCCCGAGATGCTTGAAAGAACATGAAGTTATCTCCACTCTGTATCCCTGACACCATCTCTACTTCTATTGAAACACAGAAACAAGATATTGGAGCTATATGGCCTATAGGGAAAGGGATTTTCACTGTGGAAAAAACCTGGTCAGAACACCCCCAGAATGCTCTGACTCAGTTATTCCTTCATGTTATTTGTCACACAGAGAAGAGCCCCATGGCAGTGCGGTTGCAAGGGCAGCAGCTTTCTGCTCCCCAGTGTGAACTCAAACCATTTATGCCAGCGCTGAGCAGGACCCAGCGCCTTCAGGGACATTTCCCACCAGTCTCAAAGCAGGAGCAGGGATCCAAGAAGCGAACTGCTATAACCAACGTCTTTGGAGAAACCCCCAAGGTGCAACATAAGAGTTTCCAAACCGCGCTGCCTTCAGGGGCTGCGTTGCTCTTCGCGATGCAGCATCCTCCGCATGGACCCTTGGCATGCCGTTACGTTGCCGTTGCTACAAAGCAGAATTAATTTGATTTGATTTTTTTTTTTTTTAAGTACGAGGTCTGCATTTTAAATTAATATTTTCATTCTCAGCGTTGCGCTTTTGAGAAATGTCTCTAGTACAGATGAAGTGTCTACTGTTCCTTTCACCATTGCCTCATTGCTTTGATTTGGAGAACTAAAGATATTCAGGTTAAGTAGCCATTGTGTACCATTCAGCTTTTATAAATGGAATAATCATGTGTACGAATCTGTTAAAGGCGGCCATTGCTTTCATTAGTACAGATTAATCGACAACATGTGGGTTTTTTTCTATTTTTTTAAATTTTCATTTTAATTTTTCAGTTGATGGGATTATAAAACATATGGTCCATACTGATCATTTTTATGGCTATTTTATCAATTTTCCTTTCAATTTAATTAGCGCGACAGGAATTGAGCTGTCCAGAAACTTTAAGATTTGTAAACAAAAAATAGAATTTGGTTTCATTCTTCAATAGCAAATACAATTTGAGCCACAAGAGGAGTTAAAAAAAGCACAGGAGACACATACCTAGGAATAGTACCTGTAATAAAAAGTCCATTGCTCATGCTGTATAGTATGACAATGTAATAATGCAGTTAAGAAATATTTTACAGCTTATGTTTTCATTAAGTTGTACAATGCAAAAAGATTCCTGAGCTGAAACGTAACTCAGTCTTGAAATGTTAACTTTTATTGAAAACTCCAATTTAGACCTCACTTTTCTTTCAAATAGTAGGTTATGTGGGTCTTTGGTATTGCATATGCAACAGCACACAGGACTGCAGGTCTGGGTAACAATTTGCAATGGAAATAGATAACACTTCCAGCACCGTGATGTGTTTATTTCAACAACCGCTTTCTTTCGGCAAGGGAAGAAGGGAATTACATTCAGAAATTATAGTAAAGGTATTCTTTCAAGTGATTCAACATGCCATATAGAAATACATTGATCTAATAATCTTTCTACTGATGTGCTCATTTTTTAGCGTTCTTGAAAATTATCTCATTCTAAGCTTTCCCAGCATGTGCTTTGCCTGCTACAAACTGCATCCTTCTGCTCTCAGTGATGGTTGCTTTCAGAATGAAATGCTATGCTATGCTATGCTATGCATGGACAAAGATATCTGATTATCTCAGCATTTCACAGCCACAGAAGTTTATCACTACTTTTCATGTCATATAATTACATATTAACACTGTATTTTCAGAGTGCAATTGGTTAAACATCTAAGAACCACATAGTCCATGTTAGCGTTAGTTAACTAATTTCTGTTGAAAACATCTTATAGGCATGCTAAAGTTAAACACAAAGACTTTGAGAGTACCGGAAAGCATCGAAACTTCAATTACAATTAAAATTTGCAGGTAGGCAGTCTTTGCTATGGGTGTTTTAAAAGCACCACCAAAGCCCAGGCCAGGGCAGTAGGGCTGCAAGGACCTCGTACCATCGTACCAAGAGCAGCTCCCATCTCTCCCCTTGCAAGAATGGGACCCCAGATCAAGCCAACCATTCCCTTGTACAGGCAATTGAACTTCACCCTGTAGATAAAACAGAGTCACGGAATCCTTAAGGCTGGAAGAGACCTCTAAGATCATCAGGTCCAACCATCAACCCAGCCCCACCATGGCCACTAAACCATGTCCTGAAGGGCCACATCCAGGCGCTTCTTGAACCCTTGCAGGGATGGGGACTCCACCACCTCCCTGGGCAGCCCCTTCCAGTGCTTGACCACTCTTGCACTACAGACATTTTTCCTCAGATCCAACCTAAACCTCCCCTGGTGCAACTTGAGGCCATTTCCTCTCGTCCTGTCCCTGGTTACATGGAAGAAGAGACCAACCCCCACCTCTTTATCCCCTCCTTTCAGGCAGTTGTAGAGAGCGATAAACAAGGTTTCCAAAACTTGGTATCAGACTGCCTTTCTGTTTCCCCTTCACGCCTTCTACTACAGGAAGAGACAAGCAAAGGCCAAAATGTTAAATCATGAAAAAGCGTAGGCAGATAGTCAAGGTGACCACAGGATGTTCATCAGATATGTTTGAACATGAACAAATTACATTTAAGTACTGGGAAGTAGGAATATCTACATATCCCACATTTAGCTGACTGGAGAGGAGAGTTATAAGCACAGGAGGGAAAAAAATCAGCTTAGAATTGGCCAACTATGAGACCACAGGGCCACCATGGATCCAGCAGTCACAATTATGAGCTTGGCTGGGCTCTTCTACCTGTCCTAAAGTGTCAGCTCCAGCTTAACCTCCAGCAATGACTTTAGGGTGCACACAGCATATCATTGCATCCCCATTAACCGGTCATCACGCTGTTTCTTGGATGTTTTGTTAATTTTCGGTTTCATCTTGTCCAAGTAAGTGCTGTAACAAGGAGTCCTGGGTATGGGTGGTCACTAACAATGCATACGAAATGTTGGAAGTGCCACATCTTGAAAAAGCATGAATGTACTAACAGTGGTTTTGCCTGCTTAAAGAAATAAAACCAAACAATACTACATGGCATGCGGTAATAACAGAATACGTTTTGTTCTTGTTTATCTGAAGAGGTGGCCAGAAGTGCACTGAGCTGGGCTGACTAAGATGAAAATAAGCCTATTTAAAATTCCAGGAATAGAAAAAAAAATTAGTAAAATATTAGAAAAAAAATTAATTATTATTATCTATAATAATTAGGTGAAATTTGTTTGTATTTGTTAATTTTAATTTCCTCTACAAGGTTTTTCTGTACTGTAAGATTGATAATGCCTCTATCAAAAAACAATTACATCGAATCAGTTTCGTTCCCAAATGAAATATATTCAATGGAAATAAAAGTGTGTAAGAAACATATTCATACCACTGAGAATTTTTAGACATTATTTTCAGTTATCATAAAATAGAAAAACCAGAAGTGGATTGGAGGAACGATGAACTAAGATACATTTCTCTTCTCCGCAGTCAAAAGCTAAGTTTCAAGGAGCGGGTCCGGATGGCCAGCCCGCGAGGTCAGAGCATCAAGAACAGGCAGTCTTCGGTCGGAGACCGCCGCTCACCAAGTGCCGACATTGCCACTGAGGGCAGCCCAACCAAAGTGCAGAAGAGCTGGAGCTTCAACGACCGAACCCGCTTCAGGCCCTCGCTGCGGCTGAAGAGCTCCCAGCCCAAACCCGTGGTCGACGGTAGGAGCTTTTCGTGGCCCGCTGGCCATCGCGCGCTGCTTACACTCCCATACACCCCCACTGTGAATGCGACCTGTTTTCGGAAAGCAGAAACAATCACTATACTGGGGCAGAGCATGCCAATGGGATTTTGGTTTTTTTAATAGGAAATCTTGTGTCAATGTCCATAGGGAGCACTGACCCCCCCCAGGCACAGGAGCTTGCCAAGGTAAAGAACTTCATGTAGTGTCAGGAGGAAGGAGCCAGGCTCTGCTCTGTGATAGCTGATGACAGGACAAGGGGCAATGGGAGCAAGCTGGAGCATAGGAGGTTCAACCTGAACATGAGGAAACACTTGGTCAGCATGAGGGTGCCAGAGCATGGCCCAGGCTGCCCAGAGAGATTGTGGAGTCTCCTTCTCTGCAGACATTCAAAACCCCTGGCCGTGTTCCTGTGTGACCTCCTCTGGGTGATCCTGCTCTGGCAGGGGTTGGACTGGGTGATCTCTAGACATCCCGTCCAATTCCTAATATTCTGTGATTCTGTGATCTACAGAACCTTGCCAAAACTGAGACAGTGACTCAACCAGGGAGCACCAAAGGGAGTGAAAGCAGCCCCTGGTAGGCAGGAGATGAGGGCGCGGGACGAACCCAACATCTGTAGGGACAGGTCCAAGACCAAAAAGTGCACTCACGCATCTCTGGAGGTCCCCAGCAGGTTTGGATTTGGGTTTCTCCATTCATATTTCTCCAAACCTATGAATGTTTTGTTCTTTCCTGTGGGACCCTCAGACAGCAAATGAGGAAAACCAATTGACCAGCTACAACAGGAGGCAGTGACCCTGACTTTATGAGAAGTGTACAACATAAATTTGATCCATGTAAAGAGATATAACTCTGAACTCTTTCTGTGATGGCAGTCACACATATTACATCCAGTAATTGTAGTAAAACTAATTAGACAGAAGTGCAATTTCAGTATCTGCTTCCTTTTTAGCGCGCTTATGATCACAGACGTAGGTTGCAAAATACCCAGTGAACTGAAATGCCCCATCCCTCAGCTGAGGACTTCCTACGCAACGTATCTCTTCAGGAAAAGCCTGGGTAAATAAACATTTCCTGGAGGGCAAACAAGACAAACCAACAGTGTTTGCTAAGGTCATCGCTCCAAGCTAACCCTCCCCCGTGGAGACCTCTTAGATGCGCAAATCCCAAATTTGGCTGCCTGACAGCGAGCTGCTGGGGTGTACCAGCCACCAGGCTGCAGTCCAGGTTGCACACTGCTCCTCACTTTGTTTTTGGGGCACAGGCCCTGGCTCACGTCCCATGGCAGCTGTAGCACAGGGGCTGTGTCATGCTAGCCTGGGTCTCACCCTGACGTGGAGCTGGGACAAGGCTGCTTGCACCGCAAAAGGAAGTGAGAAATGCTCTGGGTACCAGAGTGGGGTTCAAGCTACCCTGTCTAAATTTAGGTTTCCTATGTGATCACTTAGATAGTGCGAGTATCTCCCCAAAACCATGCCAGAAGTGATTTCATAGGTTAATTCCCCCCTTCATAACTCATACTGTGCCTGGAAGTGACTTAAGAAAAGCGTAATTTGTTGAGCACACTCCTGGGGTATCAACACCTCATTTCTGCTCCGGCCCTCCTCACGTGTCTGTTTAATTTTTCATCAGTCCATTTGTCCCAGAAGCATTTCCTCTATTTTGTCCTGTACGTATTGTCGTTAATCACAGTGATCTGCACCAGAAGATCATGTTGCCTCCTATTGTGTCCCCTTGGCGGAAAAGGTGGCATGAGTAGCACCTTGGGTGTTTTCTGCAGATGAAGGATAATAACAAAACAACGTTCACTGCTGTGCGTAAATCCTTACAGATCTTCCCGCTCCTCAGGGCGAGCGCGACCCATTTCCTTGTCAGCGGTTTCCAGCCTCCAGTCCACCCGTATGAACTGGGGCCAGCAGATATGGCCAATTTCTCATCCAAGGCAGGAGGAGCAGCTCCTATTGTCTCCAGCTTTTAGGCAATTGCCAAGTTTCCACTCTGGGACCTCGTCCAGCTGCTTCTAGGACTGGTATCACCAGAGAGATGGCCAGTGTGCTCATTGCCAAAAGGCAGCTTCTTGCTACCTTACCCAGTTGTCCTGGTTTAGGGCTGGGCTGGCCACTGAATCCTGGACAGACGCTCTCTATTATCCCCTCTCCCCTCCCCAGAAGGGAAGAGAAAAGAGAATAAGGGAGAGAGGCTTTATGGGTTGGAAAAGTAACTAACAGATTTAATATAACAATAGTACTAATACTACAGGATAATAATGTAAATAGGAAAATAATGAAATATATACAGATATGTACAAATATATACAAAATCAATATCAAATCCTCCCCCCACCCTCCCCCAATGACGAATATGTCGCCAGAGGCTCTGGGAGCAGGGCACTGGAAAAGTCCCAGACCCAACTCAGCAGCAGTGGGAGCTGACGCAGGAACACACAGATCAGGATCAGAGGCAGACAAACCAGCAGGGTCTGCTCAGACCTCGGCCATTGCAGGATCCAGACGGACAGAAGGGTTTAATATGCAAGGGCTCCAAGATGGAAGAAGGGTCGAGACCCTCGTGATCCCTTGGCTTTATACCGAGTATGACGTGTGTGGGATGGAATACCTCGTTGGTCAGGTTTGGGTCCATCACCCCTAGGGGCAGACGCGACACCCATGGTGAGACAGTGGCCTTGAACGTTATTACTCATAGCAGCACATACTGCATAAACACGCTGCTAGTTTCAGCAAGTTCAGCCACTTAGAAGAGGCTGAGCTGAAAAGTAAAATCAGTAAATAGAAAATTAGTTCTACTTAGCTCAAACCAGGACACCAATCCATTCCAGGAAATGTCAGCCACTACCAACCTTGATTTTTCCTTTTTATTTTCTTTCTTCAGTGTGTTTCCAGTTTCATAATTTAGCATGCATTCCACATTTGACAGCTCAGTGAAAAGGATCTGGAGATGATGCATTGAATTTAGAACATCTTGCATTTTTTCACTGGATGGAAGTACAGTATTTGCAGCATTTTATTAATATCTCACAGTTGTCAGGTCCTCCAGGTTCCTCCTTGAGGAATCTCTGGCCAAAAGATTAATTATTCTGGTGTGCTGGTCTTCCAGCCAAATTAGAAATCATATCTTTCTAGATAAAAGTCTGGGCACAAAATAATACCCTTGAAAATCTGGTCCTTCTGGTGATTCTTAAATCTCTGTGGCATGTTTGGGGGGAGAAGAAATGACACTTGCAATAGATCTTTCATATGGAGACAACATAGTATTTGGTACTCAGTCCAGTGTCAAAACTTTGTGTCAGTGATATAATGAAAATATAATAACCCCTCCCTGTGAAATTCCCCTTCCAAATGAAAAGACAACTCAGATTAGCTTGATTTTTCCTTCAGCTTATGGATTTGGGGTTATAAATGTTCCTCTGTTAGTGCAGGCAAAGGAGGAACTACCTTATTACAGAGATGAAGTGCACTGAAATCCATCTAAAAATAAGGCAAAGAAGCAAATATATAAGTAGAGTGTTCGGAAAGGAAGAGAAACGGTTGGCGTACGAGGGAGATCTAAGGGAGATCATCAACACAGCGGCCTTGCAGGGCTGACTGAGTCCTGACAAAGGACGTGGTTGGAATCTGGGCCAAAACCATCAGAAAGAGACAGCTGGAAAAAACAAAGCTTTAGCAATTAGAAAATGGCCTGTAAAGGGAATTTTCTCATCCAGACAGCAGCTAAGAGGCTAACACGGTTGAAAATGTCGTAGCCTTCTGCCCAGTAACAAGAGCTTACTAACACCCCCCCGCTGCCTACCAAAACCACTGAAGGAGGGTTTCTTGGCAGCCAGTAAAACACTTAAGCTGGCCACAGGTATCTCCCAAGAGGATTTTGGCACAGCAGCCTCAGAATGGCATGAGCAAAACTGTTGTGCTAATGGCTTTCTTTATGGGTAGCACCAGTCCTCTGAAACTGCCTGCAAAGCATTTATTGCTGTTGCCGGAGCGGGCCTGGCACAGGCAGCGATTTCAGCTGCAAATATGCGTTTGCAAATGGGATCCAAACCTGAGAGAGCTTTGATGGGCTTCGGTGGTGTGGCTGCAGACAGTCCCTCGAGAGCATTTAACAGCAGCGCAGGGGAGCTACATCGAAACCCAAGGCTTAACCCGATTTTAAAGACGTGCTTAGTCTCTGGTGACGTGTGGCTTGCACCTGCCAGGACTCCTGTTGAAGAGGACATCCTGCACTAATTAACCAGAGTGCTGTATTTCCAATCCCTTTCCTCTTTTCTGAGGAAGAGAGCCTTTTCTGCTTAAATCATGCTGCAGTCTCGCACAGCCACAGCTGAAGTAATGAACGGATATTATGTTGTTCATGCAGTTCTCAGCGAGGGACAAAAGTGCCCTATTATTCTTGTTTTCTACTGTCCTCTGCATGAGTTATTTTGCCTTTACTGTAACCTAGAGACACTGTGTGTTTTTCTGAATAAAACATCAAAAGCGTTCAGCGCTGGAGATATTACAAACATAATTCATTTGATTAATTAAGAAGAACTCTCTAAGGAAATACTTGATTTCTTGCACCATCCCTCAACATTATACACTCACACGACCTCTAGCCTTTGATTCCCTACAGAGTACTTGCACCAAATCCTCAGGGTAGAGTGTATTATAAGAGCCATGGAAAGAATGCGACTGTGCATTGCGGTCCCCGTGTCCTCAATTACTACCGTGTAATTTATGTGTTGCAAAAATGACAGGTTTTCCTTTCGGTGGCGTAAACATCTCGACCTTGCGTAAGGTCCGCTGGATGTGGCAAAGGTCCTCGCTTTGGTTGCTTTTGCATCTCAGTTAGCTTGAAGCTGCTGATTCAAAACGAAGCCGCATGATGTCCAAACAAAGCCGCTCAATTTGTTTAAATTGATATGATGAGACTAAATGACACTTTATTAGCAATATATCCATTTGTGCCAGACGGGACATTTAT